GTACCTTGTGTACAATCAGTTCGAATTTGTAATGAAAAAGTTATTAATCTTTGCTTTTCCGGAAGTCCTTACAACTTATCAGGTTTATCAACAAACTTATAGCATTTTAAGCGATTAAAAGGATAAAGTTGTGCCAGACATTCTGTTAAAAAAAAAACATAAAACATATAAGAGCTATATAGTTTATCAAGTTGATAAATTTTAAGATTATCAAAAGGCACTAAAACAAAACTCATAAATACCAAATGTGCTTTAAATATGTTTATAAACAAAAAAGTTATTATGCTTCCACTTCCGTCTGCCACTTCCAGTATTCCTGTGTTTCGGCGCATATTTTAGGTCCATCCAGAAGTCTGGATAAATTTGGATATATCCTGCGGCTTCTTTGTAGACAATGCAGACAGATTAGAGGCAAAGATAACTTATAGAATCCGATGTCTGGTTTTAAGTAGGGCCGGGCAGTCGCAACGTTTCCTCCTCTTCCTCATCACAGCAGCTTTGACAGATTGATTTTCAAGGCAATATATGGTTTGTAATTAGCTTTCCCTGCGTAAGTCTACATAGCAGGTTTGATGTCCCTACGGTTCCCAGTATTTATACGGTTGGATGGACAGATGGACGGATGAATGTACATGACTTCATATATCGATACATACAAAAGTATGTAGCTATAACATAAAGTCTGAAACGCCTCATTCTGCCTGTTAAATACATTTTGCGTTAATACTTTCAATTATTCTGATATTTGATGTCGATTTGAAAGTGAAAATTGTCCTTTACTTATAAGATAAGCATCGCTATTGACACCGCTTCTCAGAGAGTGAAAAAGTATGTCCTTTATTTTATTATTTATTTTATTTATTATTTTCATTAAAATAGTTTTGATTTCTTGAGATTTTCTGTATAATTCCGAATTCTGTATAATTCTATATGCTAGTGATATACAAATTTTTTTTACTAAATTTTGAATTATGCGCTTTGCTGTAGCTTTCGTGCAGGATATTTATATATTATAAACCTGATTCTGTTTTTACACGATGGATTGCTTCCAGAAAAAATTGTGTAAAAAAAAACGTGCTAATTGTAATAAAGTTGTACAACCATATATAAAATTTTTAATTTTCAAACCGTGTAAAAACAGAATTAGGTGTATATATATTAGAATAACTTTGTATGAAATCAGATTATATTATATTGCCAACATATAGCTGTTTCCGAATTTAATACTATTTTCTTTTTGGTTTTTGTTTCGCATCCTCCTTTAACTCAGTTTTACTTTAGTTATTTTCATAACTCTGTCGTTTACTTACCTTTCATTATAGTTTCCCTTCTCTCTGATTATTAATATCCTTTTTAATCTTTTGCTATGATCCTGCATGTTCGCTTCGTCTCCATCCGTGAGTCATTTTTGTAAGCTGTATAAGACTTTAATGTCCGCGGATCTTATGAGTTGTTGATATCCGGTAATTATGTTTAACTCACACTTTTGCATTTCTCTCAATCATTGTCATTAACTACCGCAATTATGAAGCCATTTGTTTTTGCTCTCTACCTCCACGACTACATACTCGCACATTTGCTTTATCTCTTCATCTTTCCCAACAGCTCCGCGTTGTCTGCGTTTAAGGGAATGGTAATTTACATCAAAGTTGTATGTTGCCGTCAGAGCCACGACTGTCCATAAAACGATAACTTATAGCAAATTTATAATGCTGTAAGTGCCAACAAACTTGCTTTAACTATGCATAAAAAGTCATAAACTACAGCTATGCCACCCACTGTGCAGCTGTGTGGAGCACATTACACATCCCAGTGCAAGCTCAAGTGGTTCCAAGCCCAAGTGGAGCTCGTAAAGCAACTTCGCCATAGATAGCAGCAGGCAGCAGGCAGCAAGCAGCAAGCAGCAACCAGCAGCACCAACAGGCAACAGTGCCTGGGGAGTGGAAGCAACAACAACAATCGGTGGCAGTGCGTCCCAAGTGTACCGCCAAAGGCGTCGCTGCATAAATATTACAAAATCGTAAATACACACGCACACACTCATGAAAGCTCACCCATACACACCACACACACGCACACACACACACAATGAATGCATTCACACTTGCAGCTTTAGACGCATTCACACAGTTACTGCTGCAGCTTCTCATAGTGCAAACAAATTTGCACTTGACTGCCAACAACTGACACCAAAAGGCGCCATCAGCCAAACCATAGGCCTGTAAGCCAAAGTCCATTTGAAGATTTGGGCCATACCCATAAAGAATACATTTTTTGAATACCCTATACACTAATGGTACCCCTGAAATGTTTAGGAGATCTTAAAAGTCAGGTGAAAAGGATTGGATTGGATCTCTATTTCTTCATTTTTGGACAGATAGACAAATCGACTTTATCAGCTTTTAGTTCAAACTTAGATGGCCTTGCAATCGTGCATTCAAAGAAAACAAGCTTTTCAGGGATAAAAAAACGTATAAACATTTTTGAACTTACCCCAATTATTAATTAACAACATATTTGTCTGTGTAGAAACTCAATTAATTGGTCTTTCCCAAAATCACAAACATTTCGCATTTCCCAAAACTCTACAGACGCTGAAAGAAGAATCCTTTTATAGATGAACAAATAAATGCCAGAAGAAATGATGAGGACATATATATCTAGGAAACTAACACTAAAAACAGAAGTATATCGGAAAAGAAATCTAATTTTTGGAGTTTGATCAGAGAAAATATTTGGTTCGAAAAATATTCATTCAATTTAACAAAGTTTCTTATAACTACATTACTACAAGTATATGTAAACTGAATTTAAACTATCTTTCTAAAAAGTTTAGAGAAAAATTACTATCGTTTCAAAATTCAAAAGATTTTTATTTTAAACAAAAAAAAAATATGTTAATAAGGTGACTTATTTGGCAGACCCTATTTTAAAATTTTCATTAAGATTGAAAAGCGAGATAGAAAAAAAAAGTTGAGATTAGTTACGCTTATAATGCAAAAATATCGCTATTTATGATACATACTCGTACTTCTTAGTTAGTGCCTCAAAAGACAAACGAATACTCAAAGTCGACTTTATAGATTATTTATCTTGTGCTAGAAAGTAATATATTTATTTATTTCATCGTCAGTTCCCTAGAATATTGAACAGTATTCCCAAAATTAATTCGTTTTTCCCAGCAGCCATACATTATACAAATAGAAATTAAACGAATTTTAATAGTTTTAATTATTAGTAAAAATGTAATTTTAACAATTATCCAACCTAGGACAGATCTTAAATAAAGAAAAAAGATTCAAAAAAAAAATTACAAAAAAAATGCAGTTCCTTAGAATATTCCAAAATGCATTTGTTTTTCCCAGCAGCCATACATTTAAGTTCTAAAAAGAAATTCAACTTATTGAAATGTTACTAGTAATGGTCTTTAATTCTTTAAAATGATTTCAAATGCCGAATACGTACACGATATAGATTCTTATTTTAGGCTTTTTAGGTCTGTACCAGAGACTAACTCAACTATGTAAATAAATTCTTAAGTGTTAGTTACTTATAATATGGAACGGTATTCCCAAAATTAATTCGTTTTGCCCATTCGTTTAATTTCTAAATAAACGGAGACATAGAGAAATTAAACTTATTTGAATGATATTAAATAAAATGTTCTTCAATTAAAATGTTTTCAAAAACCATCAATAACCTGGAAAGCATATCCCATAATCGAGCTCCAGTAACTCTAGCAATATTAGCATATTTGTTCGATGCAAGCATACATTTAAGTTCTAAAAATAAATTAAACTTCTTTTTATGATATTATATAAAATGTTCTTCAATTCTTTTAAATGTTTTCAAATACTATCAATAACCTGGAAAGCATATCCCATAGTCGAGCTCCAGTAGCTCTAGCATTATTAGCATATTTTTTCGCTGCATATATCACAGTCTCGCACTCGTCAGAAGGACGCACTGTGAAAAAAATTGTTGCTGCTAGTAATAGAAATTTGTGGGCCACTTACTTTTGGCCGCTTTGTTCTAACTGGACTTTGTAGCGGCGGTCATTGTACGCATTCGGTTGCCCTTTTTTCTTAGCTGTTGGCATGTAGCAAGCTTTAGGCCCTTTATTTATGCATGAAGCCCTTTCAAATCTCAAAGCGAGTATCTCTTTATTCGACCGTGTGTGTATGTGTGAACGTGTAAGTGTGTGAGTTTCTGGGCCAATTCAATGCCCGGAAATTACAGTTTTTTATGGTCTTGGCAATCGCAAGAAAAATTGAAATATGTTTTTATTCGTGCCGCATGGCATCACACAGCAACGCATCTTCCAGTTGAATTGGAATTAGCTTACCAAATTTTTCTCATCATTAGTTCGTGGAATGGAATCCAAAGCGCACAATGAAAATAGTATGAAGGGCGTACCCAGGGCTCATAAATCTAGGGCAAGCTATTCAAATGATCTTACTTATGTACTAATATTGTGAAATTAGCTAGAAATTAAAATTATATGAGTAGGGCTGTAACAACTTTGAAACGATTTTTACAAATAACTAAATTGAAAAATAAATAGTTGAGGCAGCGCTAATATAAGAACGCTGTCACTAAATAATTCAATTAAATTCATAATTAATTGCTTTAAATAAAATAATTACATTAAATATTGAAAGTCCTACAATGCCGCAGATTTTATGAATAAAAGTAGTGCTTAAATTCTTCTCGAAAGAAATTAAAGAAAAAACTTTACATTTCGTAGAATTTTTACCAAGTTATTATCACTTTTCGTTTATTTAATTATTTTTTAAAAATACATTTGTTGCATAAGACTGCAAATGTACACACAAAAGTACACACACTGTAGTTTACAAGTAAAACAATTTCTTAAAACCCCAGAATGTTACAAAATGAAACATAGTTTTTAATAGTGTTCAGTGCATGGAACTACATACATATTATAAAAAAACAAACAAATATACATTGCTGCTCTAGGATTACATCCATTTTGCGTTTTACTTTTCGGCTATCAACAGCAATATCTTGTTCATCAGCTCGTTGGCCACAGTCTCGTGCAGAGTATTCAGTCGGGCGGCTAGGAAATCGCCAAATTTTGTGTGAAGCAGCTCACGAGCACTGGGCGTGTGCCGAGCAGGACCAACTGCCGTATAACTGCTGCCTGGGGACATCCTACCGCCCCTGCCCATCAAGTCGACATCGACGAGCGGAGGACCGGTGCCATCTTCGTCCTCATCATCGTCATCGTACTCCAATTCGTCGTCATCATCCAAATCGCCGGCATCGGCATCAATAAGCTCATTGTTGGAATTGATTATCAGATGTGGTGGGGGCGTGGCATAAGCCCCGCCCTCGTTCCCCTTCGGTAGCTGCAAACGCGCCTTGAGCTGTTGTTTCGTCTGTGGTCTGATGGTGGCCAGCTTTGTATGCGTTTTGCCATTTGGTGTTGATAGACTTGTCGTCTCGTCCTGTAAATAATTAATTTAGTTTTATTTTAATTAGTATATCCATATATATATATATATATATATATATATATATATATATATATATATATATATATATATATATATATATATATATATATATATATATATATATATATGTATACAAAGTCTACCATATATGCAATATAATTGTCAATCTAATATCCAAGCAAACCCAAACAATCACAAACAAACAAGCATAAACATGTTTATAAAATTACTATATTCCATATAAAAAAGAACTCCAATTTTAACAAACTCTGGATTGGTTGGATTAATTGGTCACATGTAATTTACATTCACAAAACATTGCTTACTTTATAAAAATAAAGCAAACTCAAATCAATAACAAACTTAGGATCGGACCAGGCTCAACAAATATATTTAATTTAAAGCTTAGTTTTCAAGATGCAGTTTTTAAAAGAATACATATCTTCTTTCCTAACTTATTAACTTTACTAAAAGACTAGTACTTTAATGATATGATAAAGGGTAACATAAAGTATAGTATTGCATATATAACTTAATCTTAACCCAATCATTAAGAAATGGTCACGCAAAGTTAATTTCAATGAAACTCCTTCGATATATAATTTACAAAATATCCGTAAGTCTTTATTTCAGATTGTTTAAAATCTAGCTGGGGCCAACATTTCAATATAAAAATGCTTTCGACATGGCTCTGTTCTTCCTACGACTTATCCTTAAATCAATATATCAACACAGGTGTTCTATCTATATGACAAAGATCCATAGCTCACAACCCTTTTCTACGAATACATCTAGTAAAAGTTAGAAAAGTGGCAGCTAATTAGCTCGATCAACAGATCGGTTCATAAACGTAGCACTTAAACTGATCAGCTAAATAAAATCAAGCTAGATCAAAAAAACCAGCCATTACCAAAATTTTGAAGATCATTGAAATCATCTGGCCCTAGTTAACCGAAAGAAGAGTCTTCAGCAAAATTGTTATTCACTTTTTTTCCCTAAAATGCTTAAATCAATTATATTTAATATTTCATATTGAAATAGATTTTAAATAAAGATTGAAAATATTAAATAGATATAGACTACTATTGTAATTGATATGAATGGTATACAAGAAAGTGTAATTTCTGATTTTCAAATAAAGATCAAATATAGATGAAAATAGTAGCAGCTGATGTTAAAAAGTTTTCAAATCTACCTGGGTGTCGGGCTCGTCCTTAATGTATATGGATGGTGAGCTGCTGCAGGAATGCGAGCTGGAGAGCACTTGTGGGGGTGATGGTTGGACAGGAACTGCCGATGCTATCGCCACTGTTGCTGTTGTTGCCGATCCCACTGGTGTTATTGTCGCGGATACTGCTGCTGATGCTACAGATGTGGGCGTGGCTTGTTTCTGGAGTGTCGTCAGTGTGATATCGGGCTGCAATTGTAGGGCGTGTAAGTGTTGGGCCTGTTGCTGCAGAGCCACGGGAAGTTGGGAAATATTCAATGGGGAATCGCTTAGATTGAGTTTGGCTGTCTGAGATTGATTGTTGGGATTATTGGGATCACTGGGCGCAAAATACTGATATTCATCGTGAGCAACACTGTTATTATTGTTATTATTATTGCTATTGTTGTTGTTCATAATATGTCCAGATACATCCGTGCTTTGCTTAATACGCTCGCGAGATCTATGGGAAAAATATTAAATGAGTGGGTGTGCCGGTTTTGTAGATAAATAATATTATTCTGGATGCCTTGCTCAGAAATTGTGATGAAAACATTAAAATGGAATAACTATTTACGAAGATTTATAAATAAAAGTTTAGTTTAGTTACATAATTATTAAAGCTTTTACGAAACTGTTAAGTCAAGCTTAAAAATAAATATGCAATATCTAAAATCTGCATTAGCTGATAGTTTTTCGTTGAAAAAAAATATATGCACATTTTCATAAACTTAATTATTTTAGGTGAGGAATTGCTTAATATTTGAATTTGTCTTAATTCAAAAGAAACCGATCAATTAATAGAGTTTTGATAAGAATCTCAAATACACATAAGACTTTAAAATGTATAATTCATAAATATGGGTATTATTTTATAAAATCAATGTTTCCAGTAGTGATTTTTCTTTTCAGAATTCAAGTTATATTTTCACGTCAATTTTCTGGCAAATTTCAGTGCTTTTTGTCAATATTGAACTTGAATCCATTATATACATGTACATAAGTCTTCAAAATTGTTTTCTCATAATCATGGATATTATTTTATAAAATCAAAGTTTCCATTTCAGTTAAATTTTGTTGTTCTTTGAAGTGATCTTTTATGTGTTTCAATTTTCGAATCTATTATTATAATAATAAGTCTTTAAAATTTCTAGTTAATAAATATGGTTATTATTTTATAAAATTAAAGTTTCCATTTCAGTTGATAGATCTTCACTAGCTTATTAGTGGTCTTTCTTTTCAGAATGAAAGTTATCATTTTTTATGAGTTTCAAGTGCTTTTTGTCAATTTCTGAACAAGGCATAGAATACTAAGTATGTATTTAAATTTATACTCACTTGCGCTCTCTGATGACCTGCTTGAGAAACAGCATGGCATCGTAATATTCCCATTTGGATTTGAAACGTGACGGACCCAGCATCTTCTCGTGATTCAGCTCACGCCGGAAGATTTCACGAAGCGAGGTGAAGGTGCGCTGCACCCGTTCTCCATTCACATTGAAGATACGTCCCAGTTCGTTCCATTTAATGGCCTTCTTCTTGTCCGAGCGCTTGTAGTGCGGCAGACGGCAGTCCCATAATATCGGATTTAAGCGTACTAGCTCGATGAGTCGGCGCTTTTCGATGTTGTGGCGCGAGAAGGCCATGGCCAATAGCGTGCTCTTAACCTTTCAGCGTGAGCTTCAGTTCACTCTCTCTCTCTCTGTGTGTGGCTCTCTCTGTCTCTCTCTCTTACTGTTTTTAACTAACGTTTTTGGCTTGGCTCTTTACTGCCTGATGCTGTTTCTGTTGCTGTTACCACAACTACCACTACCAAAGCTGTCAATGCGCATGTCCGTGCCAGATGGTGAGATGGTGTGTGTGTTGTCACACAGTGCGTATGTGTGTGTGAGTGTTGACCCGTTTGGGATGCTGCGTAAGTGAGAAAATCGTTATTATTAGTTATGGTTGTTGCATACTTTAGGCCGTTAACTATTGGTTTGAGGCTTTTGGCTATTGTTTTGTTTGCATTTAGGGAACTGAGACATATTTGCTTCGATGGTGGGAAGGGGAGGTTGTAGAGTTCAATGTCCCCGAGCCTTCGCCTCAGTCGGCAGTTTATTTGTTTTAGAAAGTGGCATTGTAAACTCGAAATTTAATGGAAAATATAAAAGGTAAAGGTAAATTATAACGATAGGAAGTAGAAACTGTATTCAAAATTTCCAGCTGACAACAAATTTTTTTTTTTGTTATTAAAACTTAATTATAGCATTTGAAACATTTCTTTAAATGCACTGTAGCAATGCAGTAATTTTTTTTATATTATGTTGCCTTGATAAGACAATATTAGTGCATTTTTTTCATGATAATACTTACAAAAAAAATTGGTTATCTATATTTGAGAATTGGATATTAATAATATCTGCCTGATATTTTCAGTTATTTACTATCGACATTGAGGTGTTATTGATTCGTGCAAATTAAAATGTACACAAGCTTCTATTATTAACCTATTTTGTTCCTCTAATTTATCATAATTTCGCATACATTGCATGAACACAAATCATAAATATGTAAATATAAATAATAAATCCTCTTCTGAAACAATCCAATAACATTTGCTCTAATTTATATATTCTGACTATAAGATTCTATACTGTAGGAGAAAATTGTAGAAAACTTGGCATATTTTCTAAAACAACTTTTTGAAAACGAATTTCTCGGAAATCTGAATCGTTTTTGCTTTAAGGCTACGGTAACTTTTATAATCCATATGAACACCGTTACGCTCTGATCCAATTTGATTATAAAGGTATACAAATATATTAATATTTCATATGTACACGCAGGTTAATTAGAAATCCACTTAATAGCGGGAATAGAAAAAACTTCAAATTAAAAAACTTTTTCCAAATCAAAGAAATCTTCTTTTGGCTGCTCACGCAGATTTTATTCAATAATGCGCCAATTACAAAATACAATGTTATTATATATATGTATCATACGCATACATACATATATATATGCATATTTGTACATATGTATATGACCGGCCCAAACAATGCGTATCGTACGACCATTCAAATATTCCGAGAACCGCAAGTGATGTGGAGCACAGTATTTGTGCATGGATCAAATGAGTAAGTTAAATATATTTATAAATATACATAGGAAAATTAGCAATAAAACCTCCATTTGGTTATTAGATATGTACAAATCGGCTGGTGATTTGTAGCGCAAGATTAATAAGAAAGCAACATTCAGAATAATAAGGGAAAACAAAACTTGTAAGTTTTCAATTTACTTAAAAGTTGTTATTTTCCTTATTATTCTGATTTTGAAAATCGAGATATGTAAGCTGCCCTTTTAGAATTAATTTCGAATATAATTTAATTGTTTTAGGGTCTTCAGATCAGTCTAAGCTATATAAATAGATTTATAATATTGTTAATTAGGAAATTTATTATTATTATTGCTAGTTATAGGAAAATAACAGCCAAAACTAACCGAAGAGATTGTACTCTAATCGAATATCAATGCTTATTTTATTTCGGCTATATTTCAGAAAAGTTTAGAGTTTGGATTACTGCATTACTTAAAATCACATGCTACAAATTTCCTTGTTTTAATCCGCTAATCTTACGAAATCTAAATATTGAATTATACATTTCTATAGCCTGCACACGAATGTTGAATGGGTATTATAGAAAGGCAGGTAGAAGAAGGCTTGACATACCACATGATGAGACAATTTATTCGTCTGTCAGTCCGTCCGTATCAACACAAATTTTTTTTTTTTTTAATCAAAGCTTTGGTTTGTATCAGACTTACAAGTATGTATCTTATCTAGACGAACATCTTATTACAAACCATATGTATTATTTAATATAGCTCTGATGGAACCGATCGTTGCAAAAATCGTGAGTTTTTTTAATGTTACATCAAAGTTTTATTTGAAGAACTGTTAAAAAGAAAATAACTGTTTTAAAATAATTTTTAAATAACAAAAGTTGTAAGCCTTATGGAACTTTTTGCTTCTGGCAGACGTCCCTCAATAGGTAACAAAATGACTTTAAATATTTTTATCTTCTTGAAGGCTTATGCATTAAAATATTTTAATTAACACGTAACATTAATTTTGAAAATCTTAAAGAACTACGGGAACCTTAGAGTCCCTATAATATTATCCTCTAATTAGAGGAGAGGGAGAACACAAACATAAATTCGCCTTTCTGTGGCTGCAGAGCATCTTCACATTAAGTTTGGTGACTTCTGCCGTTGTACTTTTTCAGATGCTTAGGTTCATACAGAAAAATAAACAAAGGGGTGTAATAAAGAAAATGGTTATACTATACTAGCTGCTCTCATCTTGCTTATTAAGAATATATAGTGGATTAAGTACACATAGGTGTTGGATATATACCACCTCTTTAAAGTGATGCATACCCCATTACCTCTTGCGTACAGGGTGTACAAATATTGAAATAGGAAACCCAAGCACATCAATATTTAAACATACTACTCACATATATAGTACATATGTATAAATAAGCATATACACACCTGCATATGTATAAAAGTCTATATGGTAAATAGTAATGGGTATGATATGTGATCATACATTTTCTTACCAATTACTTTTCATTTAATGCTTGTTCGGCCGCAAATACTTTTCTGGTGCTTCATATTACGTAACAAGTGCGTGTTTCTTTTATGGTTAGTTTTATGTTTATTATTTCTTGATTGCTCACTCAAAATTTCGCATTAAATTTGTGCATTTTAATGTCTTGGTTTTGTTGTGGTTGTTTTTTTTTTTGCCAACTTCGATGAGGAATGTTTGCGATTGTGCTGTTGCATGTACACACACACACACACATACACAATTGGACACTCACAGCTGCTGTAAATACACACGTTGGCTAAAAATACACGCCGGTTGTTGTTGTTGATATTAACAAACGAAGCGCGAACATACTATACGCAATTGTGTTTTGTTTTTTATTATTTTCATTTAATTCACAATCTAGGAATTTATGGAAATTGGAAATTAAAATGTGTTTGCACAAGAAAATTTGCAACTAGCAAATGCTAAACATTGTTATTGTCTTATTATTTTCATTTAATTTTTTACACTCAAACAATTGCCGTGTCGTGGCTGGCTGGTAAAACAACTGAATGAAATGTTTACTCAAATTTTTGACGTGTTGTTTATGATTGCTGGCGTTGTTGTTGCAGTTGTATTTATTAACAATATGAGCAGCAAGCTGAATTTATTTCAATTTATTTCAATTAACAATACTGCGCGTTTGTTGTTGTGACGTCGTAGTTGTTGTTGTCGTCGGCGTCGCCTCTCCGTTGTTGTTCGTAGCAAAAATTGCTGCCACTTGTGTGTTGGTTGTAGTTGTGCTGTGTGTGAACGCCCTGCAACAACTATTTGCCACCACAAAATTCTAAACGACGCGAGCGAAAATGTACCACAAAATTCACAAACACAGACACAAACGCACACACACACATATGTACGTGAGCTTATGTGCATGCATGTTTGTGTGTGTGTGTGTGTGTGTGTGTGTGTGCACAAATAAGCGGGCGTACGTGAGAGCGCAGCAGCAATTACCACACCACAGAACACAACAACAAAAACAACAACAACAACAACAATAGCAGCAGCAATTGCAGGCAATGCAATACATTAACAGCAATTGCTGCTTAAAATATAAAATTAACCTCAACAGCAACTAAGTATTTAAGCACAAAAAAATTTACATTAACTGGTGAACTCTTAAGAACTTAACGACGACGTTGACGACGACGCTGTTGCCACTCCGTCGTCGCTATTGCTGTTGGCAGCTCCTTGATTTCCACAACTGTGTGACGAAGCATTTAAGTTTCTTGCAAATTGGCGATGTGCGCTCTTTTGTGCGGGCGGCTGCTGCTGCGAGAGCATCCCACACACACTACACGTCGCTAGAGCGGGCTATCTACTTAAAGCGCTCTCTTATGCGTTCGCATACCGCTCTCTTAGCATTCATAATTTTTTGCAGTAACTTAAGCTTTTCTGATTGTGCCGTTCAATGTAAACATTTCATTTTGTTTAGCTCTTGCCAAAGTGTAAACAATTTGCGGTGTGTTCTTATGTAGAGTGCGCATTCTTTCCACAACAATCAAAGTTATAAAAAAAATTCCCATACTTAGTGAAATTTGACAAAACTTTATTTGGGTATACGTACTATGTACATACATAAATATTTAAAGTAGTTCTTAAGGGCCTTAAGCATCACCTCCTCTAACTAATAATTAACAAGTGGGTCTTGACGATTCAGATGATTTACATACTTTTCAATTTTAGAAAAACAAAATCGTTTAAATAATTAGACTTTCGAAGTGTTTTTTATATCCAATACAAAAACACCAATGGGGAAAATTGTGTTCCAAAATTCAGCCCAAACATACTTATTAAGAATGTTAAGTAGAATAAGTAGAAGTAAGTAGAATATGAAATTCAGAAATAGTGAAAAATAAAGATTTAAATTTATTTAATTATTTAGATGAAATTATGAAATTTGTTGAATATAATATAAAAATCACCATGACTAAGGAATAGTTTATTCCAATTAGCCCAAATTAGCTGAACTTTGCAACATTATTGGACATTTAATTTGGTTTCGAAAGTTTCACAAACAAAACTGCTTTTCTTAGAAACACTTTCTTAAAACCTGATCGCGATGTCTTAGAGACTTAATAATTATCCAACTTAGAACAATAAATTCTTGCTATAAGATTAAATCAAGCAGAATCATATCGAATAGCAGTAACGATAGCTTTAAAACATTCTTATAGAATTTTCAAAGAATTTTCAACCAAACACAATAAATCATTTAAAATAGTGTGCATTCGTTAGGGGTAATTTGCAGACAATATATTAGTGACGAAAAATACCTTACATATATATACACAATCGTTTGCTGTTCGTAATGGAAAAGCAATATCAATTTATCACATTTTAGTACACTAAGCCAAAACAGGACCAATAAACTTATCCTCCGAATTTAAATTTATAAAATATTTTGTGAAAATATAGAACTCAATAATTATAAAAATATTTCAATTTGCCGAATTTTTCTCATCTGCAGCAAATTAGTGGTTAATTTTTGTATGTCTTCTTATAAGAACTGAAGTTCTGAAATAATAAGTAACAGTAATAATAATATTAATAAATTATTTTCCAATTTAAAATATATGATGAATGAGTGGTTCAACAAGTTATCGATTTTAACGCGATTCCAGACACTCATCATAAAACCTACCTTAACAATATTTGACGATTATACGTGTAACTGCTTTCAATACAAAATATATGGATATGAATGAATTTCCTTTTCAATGCACGTCACTATTCTTTGATAACGCGATTATTGTCGATTTTGCTTAAATTAAACTAACTAAACTAAACTTGAAGGAACTTTGTCTAAAACTGGAATAAAAGACCAAATTTTTGGACCTGAACGTCAATAAAGTACTTATGTGTGTGAAGAATTTAAAATATTTAAATTCTCTTAACCAAACTTACTATAATGGAAAACAAACTTAACTACTGAATTCCCAGAGATGTTTATATGACCTTTGGAAAAAAAAAAACTTCAACGTATTAAAGATTGTAAAAAAAGTAATTTCCAATTAAGGAATAAACTATCCGAAGCTTTATTTACCATATTCGAAATGTGCCTAAGTATGGATAAAATATATTTAGGAAGTGCTGAAACAACTGAATCGATCGCCTGATAACCAAATAAACGCCATCTTTTATGTCGGTATGTAGATATTGAATAACTTTGTCATTAGTGATCCGATTGACTTGAGTAGACCAGTGACCAGTAGACCTCAGTTCAAATTAAATAAAAATATCTCATACTTGAAAATAGGTTGTTTATTTTCAAAGATATTCAATGTTTGCATACCGACATAAGAGATGGCACACCCTGTAGAGTAGGAATCATAAATATTTTTCAGAAATAACTAACTGGCTTTTTACAATGGGTTTTTGCATGTTTTGTAGAAATCATTAAATCATCAGCTGCTGCATTTTTAAGTGATGGATGTGACTGTTAGACGATGTATGTATGTATCTTGAGAACACACTAAACGACAAAAAATGTTTTTGATCAAAACAACATCGGAAAACCTCACTAATTGTTAGCTACGATTGGGCATGGAAATAATTTGCCCTTAAATTTGTGTATATTTTCTATTTTCCAACTATATTGAGAATTATTAGCGTTATTAAAGAGTTTGTGTGCAAATTATTTGCCTGTCTAACCATGCTACTTGAAATAAATTCGTAATATTAGCAACTCTATTGAAATCGTTTATATCGCAGCCTCGTATCAATTCAGCAGATTTACTGATCATTTCATATCTAGAATACATATGTATGTGAGTATGTATGTATGCATGAGCATATTGATGGCTTATAATGAAATGAATCGCCTTATCAAGAATAGCAATGCTCAGCTATACAGCAAATAAACAACAAACCAAAAGGGGCGCCCATAAAAACAAAACAAATAAAATAAACAAAAGAAAATCGATAATGCCCAAGATTGGCAAAACAGCAAAAAGATGCCAGGCACCAACCGAGCCGAGCGAGGCAGGCGTCAGTTTCAGATACGAATGCCCGACACGCATACAGACGCAGATATGTACATGCAGCTCACACAGATGCAAAAGCAACAAGCGAGCACAGCATGAGCGAATGATTGCAAGTAAAGAGAGAGAGCCAAACAAAGAGAGGCGACTGAGCGAATGAAGAGCAGTTCAGGGGTTGGCTGGACCGAAGTGCCGTTGGATGCTTAAAGTTGGTAGCAATCCATTATTATTCCACATAATTCCAAGTTTAAACAAAGAGCAGTAAACAAAATAAGTAAAGGCATATACAAACTACTACAAACACACATATATATGTACGTACTTGTATATATGTAAGTACATACATATATGTACATTCATAATTTCTGTCTTTTATCAAGCAAAGCCGCGAGATAGATGCTCAGTTGCTGGCATTTAACAATGCGAACAAATACAGATTCGCACACACACACACACTCGCACACACGAAAGTACACACAGAAAGCATGCAAAGACAAATATTCAATTTACTGCCTGCTGCTACTGACTATAGTCGTCAGTATACTGACTGACTGACTGACTGCAATCAATTTTATTGCTCACACTCGTTGGCTGTTGTTGCTGTTGTTATTGTTGTTTATTTGCTGTCTGTTTCTGTTGTCATTTCGTTTGGTGGTCATCTGAAAAATCAGTCGCAGTTTATTTAAATAGTTCAGTTGGCCAAGCAATCAATTCATTACTTGATCAATCCATATTTTTTTTATCATACATTTTAACAACTCGATAAATATCTGGCTTTTCAGAAAGTTTTTGCATGTCTCAGTATACCGTATTATTTTGCTACTTACTTAAATAATTTAGGGATATTTCTTTTACGCATTATGTTTTGTTTAATCAGCAAAAGAATCAGAGGAAGAATGTGAAATACATATGTACAATGTATCTGTTTTTAGAAAAGAAAAAGATTCTATTGTCTGTACGTATATTACCAACTA